AGCACATAACAGATGTGGTATTTAACAAATGCCTTTCGGTAATAGAAGATTCCGTATTAGCGTTGGGTGGTCGGCTACTAAAAGAGTATGGGTTACCTCAGCCAAGCAAAGAACAACAATTCGAAAATAGAGAGTGTTTTAAAGAGACAAGTTACGACTTATCGTCATTAGAAAACACAGTTAAAAATAATGAAGGATCACTGAATGACGAACAAAAAGCAGTTTACAATCAAATTAACACAAAAATTGAATCAAATGAGGGTGAAATATTATTTTTAGATGCTCCCGATGGAACATGAAAAACATTCCTCATAAATTTGCTATTAGCAAAAGCTAGAAGTACTCGCGGAATTGCTTTGACTGTGGCTTCTTCTGGGATCGCAGCTACACTACTTGAGGGTGGGCGAACTGCTCATGCTACCTTCAAGTTACCACTCAATTTAACAACAGCTAATACTCCTATTTGTAATATATCGAAACAAAGTAATTTTGCTGAAGTATTAAAACATACGAAAATGATAGTGTGGAATGAAATAACCATGGTTCATAAAGGTGGCGTAGAGGCTTTAAATAGAACTCTACAAGATATAAGAGGAAATAAGAAGTTAATGGGTGGTGTAACGGTTTTGCTGGCTGTAGATTTCAGACAGACTCTACCAGTAGTTCCAAAAGGAACTAAGGCAGATGAAGTTAAGGCGTGTCTTAAGAAATCCACTTTATGGCCTCTAATTAAAATCCTCAAGCTCTCGAAAAATATGGAGGTACACTTAGAAGAAAAAGAGTCTACTGGTGGATTTGCGAATCTCCTACCTGAAATCGGCAACAGTGATTATCCGATAAATGACGGAATTATAACCATCCCAGATAATTTTGCACAGTTGTAATTACGTTACAGGAGTTAATATCCAAAATTTACCCAGATATTGATAATGGTTGTGTGAACGTGTCATACTAACCCCGATAAATGACCAAGCATCTACAATTAACGATACTATATTTTGAGGGGGAAGAAATGGTGTCTGTGGTCAACACAGAGAACGCAATTAACTACCCTGTCGAAATTCTTAATTCACTGAAACCATCGGATCTTCCATATCATAAGCTTATTCTGCGAGTGGGCACTCCTTTTATATTATTGCGAAATTTAGAACCTCCTCAACTGTGCAACGGAACCAGACTAAAAGTAAAAGCATTACATCGCAATGTAGTGGAAGCCAAAATTATAACTGGATGTGCGCAAGGCGAAACTGTATTTGAATGATGTTCCCTTTGAATTCAAACGAATAAAGCTTCCCCTCAAAGTCTGCTTTGCAATGACCATAAACAAATCGTAAGGGCAGACATTAAAATTTGCGGGTATAGACTTGTGAGAAAATTGTTTTTCACACGGGCAATTCTATGTGGCTTGCTCACGCATAAGCTCGCTCAGTTGTCTGATAATTTTGGCACACAATAATAGATTAGCAAATGTGGTGTATAAAGAAATTTTGTAGTTTACTAGCTCTTGCTCGCGACATCCAGTTATAATTGTGGCTTGTATCAGCAGACTCTTTTTCACACATGGGCGCGATATAACCGAACTCCACGCAGACGAAGTTGCGGGCAAAAGTTTGTACAAAAGTATTAAGATAAATATTCAGGAATATGTACACAAAATTTCATTTTAAAATTTCAAGAACCAAAAAAGTTTTTGAGATAGAACGCACCGTTTGGTCCCATAGTGCGGAGGACCGGAGGGGAGTAGCCATAAGCAGGCGTTCCCCTGGTCGAAGTATAAGTCCACGCGGTCGTCAAATAACACATAGCTGACGTGAAGCACCAACGTTCCGGGAAGTCTGCAGTTTGTGATTATATCCTAGACGGCCCCCGCCATTACATTAGATTTGATAAACCACAAGTTCTCGCGAAAGAACATCGACTCCTGCCAAGGATGATACGTGAGGCTATTGAAATTAAAAAACATCCTAATTTCAATAGAGAAGGAGGCTGGGTATTACCACCTGCTTGGGATCCTGTAATTCATAAAATTGAAACTAAACCCAAGCATACCACTGCAAGACTGCAAGACACAGTTAGTTCATTCTGAGTAGATCGGACCAAAATTAATAATTAAAAGCTGAAGGTACTCCGGGTTAACTTTGACATCGGGACGTTAATCACCTCAGTCCCCCGTGACCACGGTTGCTGGAAAGCAACCGAAACGTCGGGAATATAAAATAACTTAATTAAACGCGATAAAATCCGTAAAAGTAGTTTTCTAACTCTACTGATTAAATTACCATAATATTCAACTTTAAAACAAAATGAAGCAAAATATATGACTAGATACCGCGTAACACAGATCATTGCATGATTTTATTCTTAATGGTTTTATTTTCACAACGTAATTAGTAAGTAGTGTTGTGCCTGCACGGTCATTTTAAAGATCGCTCCGTACTAGTTCTTTACGGACTGTGAACTAGTTCGTCTTATTAGTTGTATTAGCTTTATTCGATCATAAATACTACTAATCATTTTAAACTGTATCTATGTGTAAAATCTATATGGAATGGTTATCTCAGTCAGTGAGTCTAGTATCAGTCGTTCAATATCTGTTCTAATTATAGTGTACTATTATTACTCTTACACACACACTTTATAATTTCTTGGTTAAAATAAAAGTCTAAAGCAAATTAGTGTTGAAAAAATAATTATCGTAATTTAAATAAAATTCCACATCTATAACATGAGAAAATAAAAAGCATCCAAGGATGCAATTAATATTAAAACAATAATAAAAAGCACAAAAAAATTATCGTCAATAATTGTTATAACAACAACTCAACAGTGGTAGAGCCACGTGGCGGCTTTTGCTGTCGTACGGATGGGCCGGCTCGAACCGGGGTGGTACCACGACCTCACAGAATACCAGCGTGAAGTAGAGGTTTACCTCTGCGTTTCGCTTGGTGAGTGCAGATGGCCGGAGGCCCTTTTTACTGAAAATGAGACATTCCACCTTAGTCCTCACGGGTGACAACGCATCTGTATTTTGATTTGTAATAGAGGATAGATGTAGATGTCTATGGGCCGCAGCAACCACTTACACCTCGTTTGTCACACTTATCCTATAAAAAAAATAACATAACTTCAATTTTATTACATTTTTAGGCAATAGCAAGTGCCGAAACGAAGTCTAGCAAATGTTTGTTTGTATCTATTTATTAAATATAATAAATAAAATAATTTGCAAACACAACGAGTCCTGCATATATTCGGATCATAAGCAAAATTAGACGTTATCGCATTGATATACCTAACAAGTATCTTTCTATGAGTTTCATTTTAACGGATTTGATCAATGGTTCCATTATAGGAATTCGTCGGTTCTTGCCAGAATGACATACTCAACTCACCGACTATCTCGTTCGCTAGCTCTCGTGCGTCGTACGTAATAATTACTGTTGAAATTTAACAAAAATATGTAATAATATAGTAATTATTAGTTTGTTGCAAATGTTTGAGTTTTAATATATTGTTTCTTTAACTTAATGTTTCCAATTTTGCTATATAAAAAATTTTAGTCTATATTTTTATTTAATAATGATAATCAAACCTTATCACGTTAGTATTTATACCTTGTTTTTCAAAAGAAGCAATGATGATGATGATCAATAATTCTATTTTGGTTTATTTCATTATACAGTTTTAAGTTAAAATAGGATACAGATTTAATAATGAGTCAGTTTGTACTACAAATAAAAGTTTCGAGGCGTCTGGCAACACTGTTAGCAACTTTCGCGTGGAGCACAAGTGTGGGTACAAGTCACAATGTATACCAATAAAGAATGTGAAATATGGACACTGGTGATAGAAGTGTATAAAGAGCTGCTTCTTCACCCAGTATCTCCTTTTTGTCTATTTTTTTTTGCGGTAGCACCGCAGAAATAACGTTATTTGAACGTTGTAATATTTTTAAAAGCCATGCTGCAGCTTTTAAGAACTATATTATGATTGTAATTACTAATTAGTTAGTCGTTTTATCGATAAATATGGGTATCTATGGGCCACAGTATCCACTTACCATTAGGTAGACTGTGTTCATTTGTCACCCTTATCTAATGTATGAAAATTAATTTTCGATTGTTCGTATTTTATGCGTTGCCATACCGTTAATCAGATTGCGGTAAAGTTTTGTAAACTTATTGCTTGCACTTACGCGAAGGTTATAAGCATAGTATAATTAACTTACAGTAGGTGGCACGCGTGTCGTACGTATAAATTTATTTGAAAGTAATTTAAAGTAATTAAACAATATAATTGTTTCAAATTTAAAACGATATTTCCACAATTATTTCTGACAGCAACGCTCCGGGTACTAGCAAGTTCTATATAAAAAAAGAGCCAAGGCTATATAAACCGATTCATTGATATTTCGATAAAACTAGCGCCATTCTCGACGCGTGTGTCCAGAGAGACGTACACTCTAATATGAACGGCACCGGCAGGCATGTGTATAGAGACAGTTCTGATATTTCCCCGATCGCTGTTCACCCAAGATTGACATGCGGCAGGCAAGTGAGTAGCCGCCTTAAGTCCTTCACCCAGTCAATGAGGTCAGGGGTTAAGCCGTATGCTCAAAGCTGGTCCATAAAATCTTCGGCTATATTGGTTCTCTGGTCTGGATATTCCTGTTTCTAAGTCTATCACGCAAAAAAATAACTCTGAGCATATCTCTCCTCATAACTCGCTGAGCGACCTATCTCATATGCTTTTTAATACATAATATGCATGAAATCAAAAACTTGTCATCAGAGAGAAACGGTTATTTATATTTTTGGTAACTATATTTTTATTATTATATACAGTACCTATATAAATAGTATCAGACAAAATAATAATCGAAAACTATCAATGTTAATAATAACCGATTAGATTTAAGTTTATTTTTATTGATGTATGGTATTGATTGAATGATAACGTTAAATTGACATTTTATTGCGCTGCACTGACAGTTCTGACAGTTTGTCAGTTGGACTGTCATTTGTAACATTTCTATGAACATGAAATGGAAATTAAAATTTTAATTTTCATATTTGATTAATTATATTTTTGTAATTAGCTAATTTTATTTATTTATTAAATTTTTACATAATTTGTTTCAATTTCCATTACACTATTTTCTATTCTCTAATACTCGTACGACGCACGCGCAGAACTCCCATCGCCCAAAATCTCCCAGCGCCATATTGAGAGAGGCGGACGTTGTATGACTCGAGTGATTAAAATCGTGGTTAGTGCAATAAATTGAAGTGGAAAACTTGATCGTGCCCTATGGATATATATTTGGGTACGTAATGTGCATAAAAATGTGTCTCGTTTGTGTCTTTTCTTAAGAGAAAGGCCTTGGGAAGTAACATCGTAACCTAGACATAGGCCGTTCTAGTTATCAGTAGATTACCTAGGTATCGTCAATCCGCTGTTTGCTCACAGTTTTAATCATATTATTACACACGTGCGGGGAGTAGCCATAGGTTTCTTGAATCTAGTTACATTAATAAGATTATACGATCGCTTCACAAGGTTCCACACTCGTATATAAACGGATTTCGAAGTGTTTATGTCGGCAGTTGACAGAAGCGTATATGTATATGACCGATCATAAGTCACCACACCCAGTGACCGTATTGTCGGTTTTTAGTATTTATTAGGTTCTAGTTCGGATGATTGTTCGCGCGCTGTCGTGTTGGTACGTGAATATTGTGAGCGATTGTGTATTCGGCCGAGGATTGCTAGGCCCGTGACTTAGTGAGTGTAATAATATGTCATTTTTAGGAGTGGTGTGCCTCGGTTGAAAGGCCTGCCGAAAGGACAGGGCTCCCCGCGCGAGGACGGTCCGCGGCCCTCCGCTCTGAGGAAACATGGACTGCTGCATATCAGAAGAAGCCAAAGAACAAAAAAGAATCAACCAGGAGATAGAGCGGCAACTCCGAAAGGACAAACGCGATGCCAGAAGAGAACTCAAACTGCTGTTGCTTGGTAAGTAAGAATTTCTAAAATACCTAGGTATACATTACAAGTTCAAAAGTTAAATTTTCGGCTTTTTATAGTAGTTATGACTACTTTCGTTTACATTAACAGTAAAATAAAAGTTGATTTATGTTAAAATAATAATTCATGAATAGTCTTAGGATGTTATCTTAATGATGTATGAACATAAGAAAAATAATATATATATATATATTAAAATTAATTCTAAAAATTAATCTAGGAGTTAAAAATCTATATATAGTCATTGAAGAAATTTTAACAATAGTATGTATATTTATATCTCTGTTATCTGTAGCTATACATTCCTAATAAACAAGCTACAATTTATGAATCATAATGCTGCTGTCAAATAATAAAAAATTATAAGTAATATAGTGTTGATTTTAAGTATTATTAAATTTATTTAATATTTTCTTATTGAAATTACGCTATGCATTGTTAACTTTTTAAAATATAATTTCATTAATGCTATTAATACCCAAATGCATTTTAGATAGATAATACATAATTTACCTATAAATTCTGAAATAAAATAAAGTTAAGTAACATTTGTTAGTTGGGTTATCAATTATACTTAATTAGTCATATATTATATCATTTTGAACATAATGTAAGTTTTATACAATTTTCTAAGAATTATAACCATTTATGTTGCTTGTAAAACATGAAATAGTCATATGATTTGAGTTTGAAATTAATAACAATTGCTTTTAATAGCCCATTTGTTGTCTTTAAACTTGATATAAGGTTTAGGATGTATTGGTTTAACCATGGGCTTGAAAAATAATAAACAATGAATAAAAGCCAAAAGAGTAATAATTCAAAGTAGAGCAGAGCTTCAAAAATACTTTTTCTATTGAAGGTATTTATAGCAGATTTTAAATTCTCTTATTGGCACTGATGCAACACCTACAACACTATGTAGCAACCTAAGTGTTTTACTTTATGGAACCAAGTTATGGTTCATTAGTGCTGGTAATATTGTGGAATCACTTGTCTAATGTGGTAAAATCCATCACATGGATATTAGTAATAGAAAATGAATTTTCTTCATAGCACAATGGATCAATTTCAATAATTTGATCATATATCCTGACAAAAAGTTCTTGAGTGACAGCCTCATATTAGAAAAAGCAATGTAGTATAATATCCCATCACTCACAAGAATGCAGGGTATCGATGAATGCAGGTTTTTGTTTGTGAGATAAGAAAAAGATAAGAAGATTTTATAGGATAAGTGTGACAAAAAAGCACATAGTCCACCTCTATCCTTGATTATAAATCAAAATGCAGATGCATTGTCACCCTTAAGGACTAAGATGTAATGGCTCGTTTCCAGTAAAAAGAGTTTCCGGTTCTCTACACTCACCATATGAAACACAGCAGCATTATTTTACGCTAGTATTCTGTGAGAGTGTGGTTCTTCCTCGGTCGAACTGACCCATTTGTGCTACAACTATACTAATATAACTGCAGCATGGCTCTGCTACGTACAAAGGTGGTGAAGGTGGATTATTGTTGTTTTGTGCATTGTTAGCAATAATTGGGAGAGGTTTTTTCAGCTCTTGAAGTAGTGGTAGACTGTCATAGTGATGATAATGATGAAGTTTACACTTACTAACCATTTTTTCTATTATCTCCATAGAATACCACAATGTATTACGTCCACTCTGCTCCCCTCTACTTAAATATATCGTTATCATCATCATCATTACAGCCCTTCACAAGTCCACTGCTAAACGACCAAGGAATGCCACAAGCACTGTCCTGAGCCACCTACATCCATCAACTTCCAGTATGTCTGACTAGTTTGTCACTCCATATAATGAGGGGTTGCCCTACATTTCGCCTACCAGTATGAAGCTGCGACTCGAGAACCTTTCTTCCCCATTGGTTATCAGTTCTTAGAGTTATTTGACCGGCCCATTGCCACTTAAGTTTAATAATTTGTTGGCCTATGTCGGTTACTCTGCTTCTACTGTGGATATCCTCATTTCTAAGTTTATCAAGCAAAACCCCGAGCATAGCCCTCTCCTTAGCTGGCTGAGCGACCTTGAGCCTGAGCTCATATAGCCATCAGTGAGGGTCCACATTCATAAGTCCAGATTCATAAGTCATCTCTGATAACACACTGTTTGTACTATCTTGTTTTGAAGGTTTGAGGTATATCTGACAAGAAGATGTGTCGTAATCTCTCAAACACTTCCTAGCCTAGAGTTGAATGTGTTGATTGACCTCTTGATTGAAGGTGTACCTAGTGGTGTATAGAGTACCTGTACCTGTATGAGTACCTGTATTACCTAGTCGGACTATTTGTATTTGTCCCAGATAAACACTCCTCATCAACAACTTCGAGCTTAGCATCTATGTCACAACTACCGGCATGGTGAGACATGGATGTTACACATGATGTTTGTTTTGTCCATGTTTATTTAAAGACCTATCTGTTCGGAGGCACTATTGAGGTAATTGGGCATAGTGCTTAGGTCCAACAACAATTCTGCCATAAAGACTATATCGTCAGCAAATCCAAAGTGAGTGATGTACTTCACCATTGATGTCAATACTGTATCTAATAATGCTTATATATTCAATATAACTTAAACATAATTTGTTTTGAATTATATCAACATTTGTATAGTCATCATCATTATAAACATCATTTGTATAGTAACAGTAAACAATTAAGAGTTGTTCTGCTATTGTTCCTCTATCTGTACATGCATTGCAGCATATTTCTTGCTCTGTAGTGGCATTGTAAGAATATCCACTACTCCATATCATCCTGTGGTTGTCGTAAGAGTTGGCAGAGAGAAATAAACCAAGAGATGGGCAGCAGCATTTTCCTAATACCAACTATGTCAAGTATCCCCCTTATGAGGCATTCCTTGGAGAGGCTTATGTTTAGCAGTGGGATTTGATAGGCTGTAAATGAAATATTTATTATTATTGTTACACAAACTAATTTTTAAAAGACAGTGAAACTATTTTAGAGTTTAGATATCACACTTAAATGTTTGAATTAGTGTCTATATGACAGAAACTTACTTGGGGCATGTTATCATTTTACTGTGATAATAAAAATCTTATGGGTGTTGGAACACAGTTTTTGTAGAATAAAAAGTAATTTGTAATTTGTTTTGTGTTGTTAATTGTGTAACATACATAATTTTAATCTGTTATTTTTTTGCTTAAAAAGTTCCGCCTGGTTTCTTCTGGTTCTTCCCAGGACAGAGGTTTTATTATTTAAAATCTATATTTAATAAAAAAAGTTTCTGTTTCTGTTACAAATACAAAATATTTATTTTCTTTTATGTGTACTATTAAAAGCACTTTGTATGTATATAGTTTTTTAAATATATATAATTTTTTACCGATGAATAGTATTGTTTCGAATTTTTTCTGAGCCAATGGGTTAAGGCAGATTCTATAAAATAGCTATACATATCACAAGTTGCCTCAAAGTAAGGGATGTAGCGTTCAACTAAGCTCACATAACTACCAATCTGTTCACCAGTTTCCCGGTTCAAGGTGATTCTACCAACCTGTTCCCATAATGAGCATTTAAAACATACACTCATATACAAATATTGAGGAATGCAATGAGAGGAGATAAATCGGCATGAAATTAAACAATTTTAGTAATGGTTTTTTTTTAATCAAATTACATTTTTCAAAACAGAACTTAGAATTATTGAAAAAGAAGAACCAATTAGAAACAGTAATTTTATTTGGTAGAAAGACTTTCTGCCTAGGAGTTTGGTAGGTTTCGTGTGTAATTTCCACCTTCTTACCAATTTCTGCCGTCAAACTGCAGTGTACACTCCAGCCTAAAGGAATAGAAATAGAAATAGATTTTTTTTCATCAATATAGATTATAAATAATACATGAAAGTCATTTTTATGCATAATTTACCAATGGTTTGGAAAATAGCTCTTTAAAGAAGAGTATAGAAAACCAGGCTGTGAGGCATCCCATATCCTCAGTGGTCAGGGTACATCTGTAAGTATATTTGTCACTTCAATTTAGTCTATAAAAAGTGCAATAGTTGTAAAGAAAATTAACACTTTTATATTATTATAGTGAAATTTAAATAGTGTTCTAATAGCTTCATTACTTACAATCTGTTTAAAAGTGTGTTTTATGTTACAGTCAGGGGCCCATTTCCTACAATGTGTACTTGTATAAATAATACCTCATCTCTGAACCACCATAAACCACTATAAAGCTCTAATCCAATATGGTTACAGTGAGCATATTTTTCTATGGACTGTCTATGTACTTTGACCCCTACATAATCTGAGCTGAAAGTCAAATTGGGAGGTGCTAGTAACAATACTTTTCTCTAACCATTATCATCAGTTTTGGTTGGACCTATCAGAGTTGCACTAAGCTAGTAACTAAATGGTCTCAGGCAAGCTGGCAAACATCTCCCTCTTTCAGGCACATTAAGTTTTCATTGTGCAAAGGTAATGAAGCTTGGTATTAATCTCCAAATAATTGGAGGGAGTGCATTTTTTTAGCACACTGCTTTTAATAAGTTTGTTGGTCCTTGCCGTTGTTACTCTTTTACATCTTAATTGTTGGCATCTCATCCTGCTTTATCACTTAAATAATTAAAATCCTGTGTCACCGACAAGATAATAATTATTTCTTGACAAAAATTATAAGTTAAACTGGAATTTGAAAAAAGAACAGAAGATTTATTGATTTTTATTTTAGAATCAAAATGTAGATGTATTGTGAGAATGAGTCAGTTTTGGTTTTCCGCTAAAAACCTAAGAGATATTATTAAATCTGGATGAAGTTGGGCGGGTCATATTTAAGGTTGCTGCTAGAAATCGTTTTGTCGAAAAAAGCAAAAAAAAAAAAGTTTTTTTTTAAATGAAGTGACAAAAAATTTACAGTCCATCTGATGGTATGAGATTACAGCAGTCCATGGACACCTGCGGCCAACTTCATAGAAAGAAGGCTACAGATGCGTGGTTACTTCACCTCTTGAAGACAATGGAATATCTCACAGCCTGTAGTTATACTGGCTTTTTATACATTTCAGGCCGAAACGGCAGTGCAAGTAAGTACTGCTATTTGGCGGTAGAAATAGATTAGTGGGTGGTACCTACTTAGACGGTCTTCTAGGCAGGAAATGAGTCCTAGCATCTAGTTGTGTACTCGTTTCTTTTATGTATGTAGTTACAACTGATGATTTGCCAAAATGCTCTCCGTAAAAGTGCAAAAAAAACACATCTAAAACTAACGAAGAATACCAGTATATAATATAATACATTCCTAAAATAAACTAACTGTTTTGTGTTTTATTTGAAGGACTGCATAAAGAAAAATACGATTTTAATCAAAATGCAATTGCTTAAATTTAACTTGGCTTTAAATTTAAGCAATGGTTGACATAGATATAATATAGGTCATTGTATAATATTATAATGGATCTTGTATCATAAATAAATTATAAACCAAACATTTTATGACTTCCATTAGGTATAACCATCCCTTTACGCTGTAGGGACACAGTAGTTACATACATTTTGCTGAAGTGTCCGGAGTGCGCTAGGCGGTAAACGCCAGCCCGTCACTGCCCACGCTAGACGGTTACCAAGTGGGAAATATTATTGTATCGCCAATAACATTTATATCTTAACATGTAAAATTGTGATTTCTGAATACAACACCAGTGACTTTCGAGATTTTAATTCCTGAAACCGATAGGCACCTTCTGTGAGTCATTTTGCGAGATTATTAGGCATAATTAAGTAGTACATTATTAGCCAATAACACGCACACCATCGCACAACGCTAGACAAAATATCCAAACCAGCAGCGAGGTGCACAGTGTAAGGTCCGAGATGTCTGGTACTGCGGTGGTCAATCTGCCTCCAAGTTCGACGATTAAGGCGACGATTTTCTTTTTTCTCCTCTGCATGGTTATTAAGCTATTACTTTAAAATCTCAACGTCAACTCAGACCAAATGTCAATGTTTTCCCCCAGCAATTAAGCATTTACTATTTCAATAAATATCAATTCTTGCGCGTGAACTTCAGTGTCTAAAATACGATATTTTGTCCGTCCAGGCCTTAGGCAAATCCTCCAATAAGAAGGGCCCATTTCCACCAATGGACTTTTATGTCAGTTATCAGAGAAATCTTGAGTTTGTTATTCATTTTCTATTTTGAGTTGTAATGGGCTCAATAATATAAACTCGAACATGCAAATACTTGCCAAATGGGAAGGATAGTTTAGGCATAGGTACTGAATTGACAATTCCTCATTTTCTTTGATATCTAAACGAACTATAATGCTTTGAAAATAAAGAATAAATTTATAAATATTTGTGTCATTGCCAGGGCTTATTTTCTAGCAATGAGTTGTTTAAAGGTTCACAGAAATCCGATTAGTAGACAGGTAATAAGCAATGAAAGGCTTCTTCCACATTGGTCAGAGAAGGTCAGAGTTAAACGTGAATAGTTGTATTTCTGTCTTTTTTTTTTCTCTTTAAATGAATAATATTAATTTAAAAAAAAACCTAGCGATCCCCTCGGCTTCGCACGGATGATTTCTGTGTCGGTGTCATTTTGTGAATCTAAATCGAAATTCTCGAATCAACTTAACCACATACACAAAATTTCGTCAAATTCGGTCCAGACATTTTATAGGAGTTTAGTCATATACACACGGACAGAAAAATTATCAAAATAATCTAAATAAAAAATGTTTACTCTGTAAAAACAAATTTTTGTCATTAGCAGTACATAGAGTTCTTTTAAGTTCCACTTGTAGAACATTATTTTTAATAAGGTATTGAGGCTCATAAGTAATTGGAGAATTTTGATATTATATAATATTGTATAGTTAAAGTTACAGCCTATAAACGTCTCACTGCTGGGCACAGGCCTCCCCTCATTTCTGAGAGGGTTTTAGGGCAAAGAAATGTCCACCGCGCTGCGCGTTGTGCGAACTTCACATGTCTTCGATTTTTTTCCTTATATCACAGACATGTTTTACTTCACCGGCGAGCACGTCGTAAATCAGCACTTAAATTTGCAATTAACAATTTCATTGTTGCTGGCGGGGATCGAACCCGGGTTGCTCGCGTACTGTGAAATTTACAGCGAGCGCTAATGTTTTTGTTTGCGTGTAATTGTTTTTGCCTTTTCACTTTAAAACTTTTACAACAAAAACCAAAAACAAATTGCTCCTAGAGTATAATGTTAACCTATTCAATAATTTTGTCACAACAAACATGATTTTTTTAACATTTGAGTTAGGTTTAAAATCAATTATATACCAAAAAAAGTTCGTAATTATACATACATAAATAAAATTACTTGTGTACTTTGATATTTACGGCGAGCACAAAGACATGTGAAAACACGCATTGGAACAGCATGGAGGACTAATGGGTCCTCACAGAAATGAGATGGAGACCTGTGGCTTGCCGTGGTACTTATAGGCTGTAACTTCATTTAACATAGATTCTGTTTTATTTGTATATGTATTGCGTAACGAAATAAGTCAAACTTACTTATTTATTGTATTACCTGCATTACGTAAAAGTGATATATAATTAATATATAGTGGCGGTGTTAGAATATTAACTACACAATGTGGTTGTGTGTGTATATTGTCTGTCCCGTGGGTGTCGTAGAAGGCGATAGAGGGAATCAAAGCAGGTGATGGGCAGTAGCGTATTCTTAATAAAATGTAGAAAATAGCAAACTGCAGTTACCAACGCGCCTGCCAAGCATAGCAAATATTACCTCTAAGCAATCTATGGGGGAGGCCTTTGATATATACCCAAATCATACTTTGATATATACCTAAATCGTACTTATATCTTTTAAAAAAAGACATTTCATATTGAATAGATTTAATGTTTTCATTTTATGATCACAACATCCAATGGAGCCTTACCAACTGTAGGTATCAATAAGTAAACATTTATTTGTGTGAATTAATTTTACTCTCAATCGTAATATAACTATTTTTTCGATACTGTAACAGTAACAGTTGAGATGATATTTGTGATATACTTCGTCTTACCTGTAATTTGTAAAAAAGTCTTTTAAATATATTTTTTAGTTCACAATTTAAATTTTGCTCAGACAAAAAATTATAAGAAGTTGTTAGAACTTAATTTTTTTATTTCCGTATAATGAAATAAAATAATATGTCCTGCCCAGTTTGAAGAGCACCTCCCTCAATTGCTTGCCCCCATCACCACCAATCCCAGTACATACCACCAATCCCAGTACGTACCACCAATCCCAGTACATACCACCAATCCCAGCACGATCACTCCCAACACCACACCACCCTCGATCATACGACACGTGTTTCGCTTCTACACAAGGCATCATCAGGTGATGTAGACTGTGGTGGTGGCTGACCGCTAAGTGTCGAGTACTTAGCGGTCTGGGTAGGAAACATCATTTTATTTCTTTACGCGGAAATAAGCAAATTAAGTTCTAACAACTTCAATATAATGGATTTCTGCAAAGTAGTGTATGATTCTATCAATTTATCTAAAAATTATAAGCATTTTTTAAGAATATTCCCTGTTTAACAAATGAAGTAAAATGAAGTATTTTATATGTGTTAGAGCCATGCTACAGCTGTATTAATAGTATAGTTGTAGCACGAATGGGTCGTCTCGATCGGGGAAGGACCACGCACTCACAGAATACCAGTGAAAAAAATCAACTTAATGCTGCTTTGTTTCGTTTGGTGAGTGTAAAAAACCAGAGACCCTTTTTACGGGAAAAGAGGCATTACATCTTAGTCCTCACGGCTGACAACTCACATCAGGCACATCAACTATCTAACACCAGTTGGACTGTGTGCTTGCTTGTCACCTTTATCCTATAAAAAAAAAATCAATAAACACAGTTAAGAAGTACAATTTAGTATATATAATACAATTGATCACACTGTAATGGTACAAACTCGTAAGTAAATTACCTTCTAATTCTTCTTGGATGTTACAGGCACTGGCGAGTCAGGCAAGTCAACATTCATCAAGCAGATGAGAATTATCCACGGGTCAGGCTACAGCGACGATGACAAACGCGGTTTCATCAAGCTCGTCTATCAGAACATCTTCATGGCTATGCAGAGTATGATACGCGCTATGGATCTACTCAAAATACAATACGGAAATCCGTCCAATGTAGTAAGTTACCCTTGTTTAACTTCTACCTGACCACATTTTTATTTAATTTATGGTAAAGTCATTTTAATGTTTGACTGTATGAGAACAGAATTCAATGCATTGAAATTTCCAAAAGAATGTGTGTTATGTAGTTTATTTAGAAAAAGTATGTTAGTCATTTATTTATTTAAAGCTATTGCATTTCCTATAAAGTTTACAAAATAATATGGACCTATGCATATGGGCTTTCTCTGCTAGTCTTACTTATTGACCACACTATTTCATTTTTTAATAGTCAGTTTTATGTTTTTCATACACAGGTAAGATGTACAAAGTGTGTCTTATGTGTGTTTTTGATTTACTGACGCTAGTAGCTCCATGTCCATTTCGGCCATGACAACATCTGCCATTTATACTACCAGAAAACTCAACTCGTAAAAGTCCACAGCTAGAAATGTGCCTCACCCTGCGTAAGGAGGAATAGCACTAATGCTCACGCTTGGCAGGCGTATTGTCGAGTGCTCACTCTTCCTAACCTGTTTCATATAACAGTTGTGATAAAATTGGACAACAGGCTAGATAACATTGTCAGACATAATATAGGGATGATAACAACACAACCAGACATGAAATAATCTGTCTATTTATACAAATTTTGGCTCGCTTTAGCTTTTTGGATTTTACTTTAAGACCACGATGCCATGTGGTCGTCAATCTATACATCTTACAAATAAATAAAATTGAAGTGTCTGTTTGTAATGTCCAAATAACAGATTTTTACTAAATGCAAATTAAAGTGTATACAGTACTTATAACAAAAAACAATTTTAATTTTTTTTTCGTCTTACTGTCTGTCTGTTTGTTCCGCCTAATCTCCGAAATACCTGGACCGATTTTGACGCGGGACTTTCACTGGCAGATAGCAGATGTTATAATTATTTTTCGAAAATAAAAGTAGCCTAAGTTACCTATTTTTTTTTAGAAAAGAGTTAAAATCCAATCGTAATAAATTGCACGCGGTCGAAGTTGCGGGGAACAGCTAGTATATAATAAAACTAAACAAAAATTAATATAAGATGAGGTAAACTACAATTTCAGTGTATACTAAAATGTCTTATCTACAAAGGAAGTAAATTAAAGAGATATACCGTCGGTTTCACCATATTTATGCTACATGTGTAAATTGTGATCCAATTTAATGTCATAACCGCAAATTAAGCTATTGCTACACATTGGAATTTCCGTTTTGCTCATTTCAGCAGGAATATTGTAATAAAATAAATAAAATTCTGATTTTATCTACAATTAAATAATGGCCATATAAAATTACAGGAAAAGGCGGAGTTGATATCATCAATCGACTTTGAAAGCGTTACAACGTTTGAGAGTCCTTATGTTGAGGCTATAAAGGCCCTTTGGGCTGATTCGGGAATCCAAGAGTGCTACGATCGCAGGCGAGAATACCAACTGACTGACTCAGCCAAATAGTAAGTTAAGTTTATACATAGCACAAAACAAGCAAGCAAGCAAGCAAAATATAAATGTATTGAAATTTCATCATCTATAAATTGACTTCAATTTTAATCTTCTGTTTACCTTTGTATTCATATTTTTTTTTACTAGTGATGTAACTTACTGTTTACATCCAAGATTAAAAATAAAATACCAATATAATGTATTGTTTATGATTTTCATTCAAATTACTATTTAAATTCAAAGTTAAACATGCATTCATCAAAACCGTATTGATTTATGTCAAAACATTGTGTTCATTGTTCAGAATAATATACATCAATATTTAAATTAAAATTAAGAAAAAAAAATTACATATGACATAACAATCATGAATTATTAAATTTAGTAACATACAGTTATTATATAAGATGACTATAGCAACAGTGAACATTAATTCGCAAGATAAATATGTCACGACTGACCAAAACCAAAATTAAATATGAAATTGTAAAAAGAGATTTTTCTATAGCTACTTGCAGGAAATTGACCGCGTCGCGGCACCAAATTACTTACCTACCGAACAAGACATTCTACGCGTGAGAGTACCCACAACGGGAATCATTGAGTACCCATTTGACTTGGAAGAGATTCGATTTAGGTAAAAATAATGCATTTGCATGGCAAATAGACGGCGAATGCTTCGCTTCGATATGCATGTTACTGTTTACGGGTACTTTGGGTCTCTCCATGTTTTTTTTTATTTACTTTGTCAACCCGTTGTAATTAACTGCTATTGTGATTAAAGGCATGTTAAATCCGCCTTAAGTCAATCCATAAGTAGTAATTTCTAAATACTAAACAATTTACAAATATACATTATTTTAGCAGGAAATGCAATTATAAAATGATTGAGTTATTTACATCTAAAGCAGTTAATTTCAATGAGCCTAAATATCATTGTCCTTGGATGTTTCTTTTGATTTACATGTTACTGGGGTATATAATCTTTGAATAATGCATGCATTACTTGGGCTTTTAGTTGCTTAAAATGAATTCCAGCTATTTAAGCGATCTCGAAAGGATCGAGAGCGCCGACTATCTGCCAACAGAACAGGATATCCTGCGCGCTCGCCAGCCAACAACTGGTATACTTGAGTATCCATTCGATCTTGATGGAATCATATTTAGGTATGTTTACAGCGTAGGAAAACAACGTAGTGAAACACATGATTTGCTAGATCGCTGGACTTGCGTTACTCACAATCGGTCACCATACAAAAAATCATCAAAAAAAAAGTCCCTATTAATTAGGTATGTATGAGCACACGGGTACTAACATACCGCTTTGCCTAGTTGTCAATACCAAAAATGTATAAAATATTTTATAAAAAATGTGTTAATACTTACAACTGGGTATTTAATTTATATCTTAAATTTTATAAAACTATTACACACAATAGATAATTTAACTAAAACGAGACAAAAGGTTTATTCTGTCGTTATTACACCTCTACATATAATAAAATCGTAGATAGTTGTTTTCTCTGTTTGTCTGTACAGACCATAATCTCACCTAACGCCGTGAACCTAAAGCCGTGGTAGCTCAGGTGCTAAGCGTTCACTGTAAATTTCACAGTACTCGAGCAACCCGGGTTCGATCTCCGCCGCCACCAATGAAATTGTTAATTACAATTTCAAGTGCTGATTTACCACGTTTGGCGGCAAAGGAAAACATCGTGAACCTGCATGTCTGAGAAATAAGAAAAAAATATTTCTAAGACATGCCAAGTACGCCAACACGCATTGGGGCAGCGCTTGAGGCCTTGAGGCCTCAAGCGTGTGTAACTTTTGAACCAATTTGGATGTGGATTTCTGTTAAGTATTGAGATAAGTTTGCGCCTAACATTTAGTGTTTGTTTTATTTAAATTATTTGTAAACTAAAAAAAAGATGTCTATTTTAAAGTGCGTATAACTCATCATCATCATCATCATCATTACAGCCCTTCACAAGTCCGCTGCTGAACATAGGCCTCCCCCAAGGAATGCCACAAAGCACGCTCCGGAGCCACCTGCATCCACCGACTTCCTGCATATCTTACCATGTCGTCACTCCATCTAGTGGGGGGACGCCCTACACTTCGCCCGCCGGTACTAGGCCGCCACTCGAGAACCTTTTTTCCCCATCGGTTGTCGGTTCTTCGAGCTATATGGCCGGCCTACTGCCACTTTAGCTTACCAATCCGTTGGGCTATGACGGTCACTCTGGTTCTACTGCGGATATCCTCATTTCTAAGTTTATCATGCAGAGAAACTCCGAGCATAGACTCCGAGCATAGCCTTCTTCATAGCTCGCTGAGCGACCTTGAACTTCCTCATCCGACCAGCAGTGAAGGACCACTTCTCAGTTCCATAGGTCATAACTGGCAACACGCACTGGTTGTACAGTCTCGTTTTCAAGTTTTGAGGTATACCTAACGAGGAGATGTGCCGTTATTTCCTAAACGTTGCCCAACCGAGATGAATCCGTCGATTGACCTCTCGGTCGAAGTTGGACTTACCTAGTCGGACTATTTGTCCCATGTAAACATACTCGTCAACAACTTCGAGCTTAGTGCTCCCAACAAATACCGGCATAAGTGTGACATGGACATTAAACATGATCTTTGTTTTGTCCATGTTCATCTTAAGACCTATCCATTGGGAAAAATTACTGAGATCATTGAGCATAGTGCTTACGTCCTTCAGCGATTCTGCCATAAGGACTATATCGTCGGCAAATCGAAGGTGAGTGATGTACTCGCCATTGATGTTAATACCGTATCCTTTCCAGTCCAGAAGCTTGAAAACGTCTTCCAATGCAGCGGTGAAGTTTCGGGAATATAACGTCGCCCTGTCTTACACCTCTCTGCAATTGGATAGGTTTCGTACTCTGGTTCTGTACTCGGATAGACATCGTAGCCCTACTGTACAAGCACTTCAGCACTTCGAAATATCGACAGTCAACTTGGCACCGCTGAAGGGACTGCAGCACCGCCCAAATTTCAACGGAATCATAGGCTTTCTCATCGTCCATATACGCCAGACACAGTGGCAAATTGTACTCCTCGAACTTCTGTACAATTTGCCGAAGGGTATGTATATGTGGTCTATGGTGCTAAAGCCTTATCGGAAACCGGCTTGTTCTGGAGGCTGGAAGTCGTCAAGTCTGCGCGCGAGACGATTCGTATTGACTCCCCAAAATAGCACGTAGACGCGGCTCATAAGAAAAATCGGTCTGTAGTTCTTCAAGAGGACTTCAAGTACCGGTTTTCCACCCGCTTTCAGAAGCTCCGCAGTGATTCCATCCTCGCCTGGGGCTTTGCCGTTTTTAAGGTGCTGGAGAACCGTTCTAATCTCGCTTAAACTTACGTCCGGGATATCATCGGAATAGTGTCGGATAAGACTCGCTCTTAGATCGTTACTCACACTTACGTGTGGCCTCTCAATCTCACTCAAAATCTCAGGTGTCCCGGAAATGACGCTGCCACACTTCGCCTGCTTCGACATTTGCTTTTTCTGGCAGACAGATCTCTAACAAAGACTTTGGAGCCCTGGTTTCGCTCGATCGTTTCTTCAATACGAGCAGTATTAAAGTTGCGTAAGTCCCGCCGCATGCATTTGGAGATCTGTCTATTCAGTTGCCTGTATGCTGTCAAATCTACTGAAGACTGCAGCTTCATATCCCGTCTAACAGCCATCAGATTAACGAGTGTGATCGGAGAGTTTTTGTGTTTTTCTGCGGCGGGTCTTGCAAAACTTAGTTCCGACCGCATGGATAGTTTCCAAGAGCTTGTCATTCATATCCTATCGTATGACTGTATAATTTTAAAGTGCTCGGCATGACGCGTGTGCACAAGACGATAGAAAAAAGATTCATCTGTATTGGTTCATTAGTTCTTTACTTAAAAATCTGAATTACTTAATTATTAATTTATGACTTTATTATAATATATATGAAAGAAGTGAAGTTATAATAAGTCCCCCTGTTGTGCACAGACCACCAGAGAGGGTTGTGGAGTATTTAAACTGCCGTGCTGCCCCAGTGCGTTTGTGTTATTTAAGATTAATAGGAAGTAATACCTTAAACGACAGATTTTCTTTCATATATACCATATTTAATATGCGTAGATGATATATGGTAGCGAGTATAAACTCGTGGGCACAGCTAGTTCGTAATATTTGTCCAACGCCCAATCTTAACGATATTTCGGTTTTATCCACGTAAGGTTTATTATAATGTTGTAAGTTACATATATTGCTTGCATGTTAAATAAAGCTTATGCAATATATAAGTTATATGTATAATAATTATAATCAGGCTAATGTGTTTATTGGGAAATGCAACTGTCAAAAGGCCCTTGTTAATTGTTATTAGAAACAAAGTTTAAAAATTAGTGAGATTTAGAAAATCAAAAATTTGAAGAAATGCTTTTAAGTTTTATTTTTCCAATAGCTAGTTTTTTTTTATCATGGAAATGATAATTTTAGCTGTAGAATAATAAAATCAAAGTATCATTTAGCTACTTAAACAAATTACTTTTCAGTGGTGTTAAAGACTTTGGTCTGTTCGGTCTACTTCTATATAATATTTGCCTATAACCCGAGAACTTTAGGCAGGTATGTTCAAGTATTGATACGTTAATTCTATGACCCGATTTACTACACGTGCGGTTAAAAAATGGTGTTAAAATGGCGTCGCCTCCACATCTCGCTCGTACACTGTCACTATCTATACTCACAACCAGGTAAAAACTGCAAAAAATACTTTGCGATATGCGTTTTTCATACATACAAATTGCCATAAACTACAAAAAAAAAATCATTTCTATTTCGCTAATTTGTGAGCTACGACGCGTGCTGGAATTTTTTTTAATAATTTTTGTTGATTTTGTTTGTTAATATTTTTTGTATAAAATATTTACACGCTATTGAGACATAGTAAAACCATTTTTAAAAATTTCGTTTGTCTGCCTATCCGAGCTAATCTTCGAAATGTCGAACCGACTGTAATAAAACTTAACGAACAAATAGAGAAAAATACCAGGAGCGATCTAAACTAAATTTTATCCCAATTTAGAGAATTTATTAAAATAGAAACATTGAATACATAAAATAAATGGTGATTTCTTAACCCTTTCGCTGTCCCGTGTACTACATATAGGTCATTGCTATTGTATTACTATTGAGTCTGAAAATCGGACAGTGAAAGTGTTAAGTCTAAATAATGCCACGTTAATAGATCCCACCCGTGCAAAGCTAGAGCAGGTCGCTAGTTATAAATGTTATTTTAAAATTAGTGTACCTACTTGGGTATACAATTCTTCTATGCAAATAAATAAAATTAATGTGCCTTTTTGTAATGTCAAAGTAACAGCTTTTTACTAAATGCATATGAAAGTATATACGGTACTTATAACAAAAACACAATTTAAAAAATCTGTCTGTCTGTTTGCTCCGGCTAATCTCCGAAACGGCTGGACCGATTTCGACGGGACTGTCACTGGCAGATAGCTGATGTTATAAGGAGTAACTTAGGCTACTTATATTTTAGAAAAATAATGCGGGTTCCACGCAACATAATTAAAACCCTAAGTTACATGTGGTTAAGTCGCAGGGAACAGCTAGTTTCAAATATTTTCCCATCATTAGAAATTTTCCAATTAATCGAATAATATAACGTTATAACGATATATGGTACTGTGCATGTTGAGGGTACGAACTCGATGAGCGGCTATTTGTAATTTCATTGTTCACCTGTACGGAATGTACTTTAAATATTTTTACCTTATACATATTTAAGTAGGTAGCTTATACTGTGCATGTTGACGGTACGGGCTCGATGAGGCGCCATTTCTAATCCCATTCTTGATCCGTACGGACTGTACTTAAAATATTTTTACCTTATAAATATTTAAGTACATAACTTAAAAGTGACTAAACAGAATATTGAATACCACTTTTACAGAGAAAATTACACAAATTCCAGTCAGTAAAGTAAACAAATAATCAGATAACAAGTTTCATTAAAGCCATCGGCCTTCCACTTGCATTCCCCATTAATTAAATTACATATACAAATATTTTAAAAACCAAATATAGAAAGATATTTTTATTGTGTGTAAAAATAGGAGGATTTTGGTAAACGAAAAATAATTTATATGTTTCTATTATTACCCAACTCATTGCACGAAAACAAGAAACGCGGAAGCAATTTATACACAAGGCAACCTATTTGCAATGAGTACATCGGTTGTATCATGTATTGATTGCTTTCTTTGCTTTTCTATGTACCCAATAATTCTACAATAAGGAATTTGTTAAAATTAATACTGCAAAATTAACAAATAATAAGAAATAATAATCTGATGGAGGTTAATGGTTTAATTTTCCAATCCGCTATAAAAGTAGAGTTATTGGCTGAAGTTATATGAAAGTGTTTGATATACTAAGCTTTTGTGTACAGAAAATAATTAAGGATTTTATTCATACATTGATTTATAAAAATAATCTTTATGAAAATAATCATATCAAAATAATCACACTACTTGAAAAAATACTAAATAATATGGGCTTTCATATAATTCAATTGTAAATAGATACAAACTTTTATTATTCTTTGTTGCTAAGCTTTTCTATGTGGTCATTGTACGCATTGTGCATGTTTAATATTTTATAAATTATGTAAATGTTACATAACCTTTTTTGGAATTAATCAAAGTGTAATTGATACGAACATTTTATTAATTATAGCCTGTTCGATCCACTGTTGAATATACACCTCCCAATAGATTGCCTCATAAGTTCAATGTTCGGCAGACGGGTTGTCAACCGATTTTTTTTATTTCCTATTCGTTATAAGGAAGAAGACGCTGCTGACAAATTCTTGGCTTGTCCTGTCGCCTCTTACGACATCTACGGGATGATATGGGGTAATGAATATTCTTACACCGTAAGCACACGGTTACAAACAAAAAATTATTAATATTAATTATTAATAATTATTACAAACATTATTAATATTATATAAACTGAAGTGACAACCGAAGTTACAGTTCACCTGATAGTAAGTGGATACTCTAGCCCATGGACATGTGGAGCCAACTTCAAATAAAAATTGCTATAGATGCCTTGTCATATGAGGATTAAGGAGGAATGCCTCACAGCGTGTTATTATACTGGCTCTCTATACCGTAAGACCTTAATACACCACTGCGAGCATTGCTTTGGTGACTGAAATAGGTAAGAGGGTGATGACAACCCAGATAGATTCCTATACAGAAGAGGAGGCCTACCATCTAGTATACTTGAAATGAAAGTTAAAAACTTTTATTTTATAGAATAGGGTGACAAACGAGCACGCAGTCCACCGGTAAGTGGATGCTGTAGCCCTTACACATCTACATTTATGCTAAATTAAGAATCAAAATGCATATGCGTTGTCACCCCTGAGGGCTAAGATGGAATGCCTCCAGTAAAAATGGTCTCCGGTTCTCTACACTCACCATACGCAACACTGAAGCATTAAGCTATTGTAAATTGTCATTTTTATTAAGAGTTTGTTAGAATGTGTAATAGAAATAAGTTTTAAATACGTAATTATTTATATGTCCTGATATAACGACATCTTTCAATGAAATAATAAACTTGCATAACTAAAAATATGGGCTAATTTTTTGCACTAATATCACTTAATCAGTGTGTGATGATCAACAGGATGGTGGACGTCGGGGGCCAAAGATCCGAGAGAAGGAAGTGGATTCATTGTTTTGAAAATGTCACGTCTATCATATTCTTAGTAGCTCTTAGTGAATATGATCAAATTTTATTCGAATCCGAGAATGAGGTGAGTTATTTTACGAGTATTATTGTTTATATATTACTGTCGATATTTCGCAGTGTAGCAGTGGAGAAAGAGAATCTTTATATCATCGCATCGTCATTCTATCATGCTCCGGGAAACTGTTGTTCACATCTGTTGTTATCGAAAGACATCACTCAAGTAATTGCAAAGCATTTGTAAGCTATGTGATGACCGCACTTAACTTGAATTTCTATGATTAATTGGTACTTTTGTTAAGACATTTAGAACAAAGCCATTTTCTTTCCTTTTATATTTATGATTATAACAATGATTTTTATCACTTATAAATGTTTGATATGACCTGCAAGTCGGCAACTCAATTTTATGTTTTGTAATTATATTGAATAATGGATACGATAAATTAATCTGTTATCAAATATTGAAGGCCACTAAAATGTTTTGATTCTTAAAATGTTACCGGTGTTGTTTTATAAAATGAATGATTATATCAATGCTTGAGTTTCGCGTGAGATGCCGTATAGCAGGTCACATCAAACAAAATTTTATGGGATTTTATCACTCCATTTCGTTCCGTGGGTGTCGACCCACTGGGTAAACGGCCACTATAAGAAATGCCAAGAAAAAGCCTAATGTACTGTTCTAAAAAAAAGTTACTTCTTGCAGAACAAATCAATATCATTTATAATGACATTTTTGTGAAGATAACAAACCATCTTGAAGAACGAGATTCATGCAATAAATATATACCGAAACATCCATAAAACCATTTCTATGCCCTGCACGTACCAACAATCCTGCCCAGCGAGATGAATATGTGCAACTATTTAAAAAATGCATGCCTATGTTTGCCCACTGCTGAACAGCCTACGGGAAAGAGGCGTGATTATATGTATGTATGTATGTATGTTTGCCCAGCTTTGAATTTAAAAGACTATCGACGATGAGATTCCAAAGGAATGGCCTTATTTTTCTAATGTAAGAGTAGACTGTGTGTGTGCGTTTTAAATTCTCATGTAAGTGAATTGATTTTGTATGAAAACTAATTGCAAACCTTAATATTTTGTGTATTTATATAACATATTCGTATTATCGAAAATAATTTTTATTCCAATAAAGGTCAGTGTGCCGTTTTCATCTCACATAATGGTGCCTTAAGCTAACCACTGTAGGAAGACTTAATTTGGAATGATGTAATTAATTACATCGTCAATCAATTAGTTTCTTCCATTTCTAATAACATTTTTATTAACCACGTGAGTAAACAGATAGGTACAATTGTCTAAAGGCATTTATGAGTAATGGATCATTATTCATAAATGCCTTTAGACAAATGTAATTTTTACATATTTTTTTTAATAAGTTAGATTATGTTTAACAAATGGAATAATAGGTATGTGCATTTTTACAACAAGTATCACAATAGATATCGTATAATTATTATAATATGTACAGAAACTATGATAGTTAACCACTTAAACATTTCCCTTGCAAAATTTCTGCCATGTCATAGGTCATAACTAAAAATTACTTCAAGCCCCTTTTTGTATTATTGTGTAGTTGCAGCACGATTGGGTCGACTCGACTGGGGAAGGACCACGCTCTCACAGAATACCAGCGTAAAAAAACAGCAGCTAAATGCTGCTGTGCTTCACGTGGTGAGTGTAAAGAACCGGAGATCCTTTTTACTGGAAAAGAGATATTCCATCTTAGCCCTTACGGCTAACAACGAATCTGCCTTTTGATTCGCAAACGAGGATAGATGTAGATGTCTATGGGCCACATCAACCACTTACCAAAAAAGATCATCATAATTTCTAAACACAAGCCCCTAATAAATTAATAAAAATGAATTATTCAAATATGAAATCTTCTAATTCCAGAACCGAATGGAAGAATCGAAGGCGCTATTCAAAACTATTATCACTTACCCATGGTTCCAGCACTCGTCAGTAATCTTGTTCCTGAACAAAAAGGATTTGCTCGAGGAGAAGATCATGTATTCACATCTGGTCGACTATTTTCCCGAATACGACGGTTTGTATTTTATTATATATGATTATTTTAAGGTTATATTCGGCCTTATTGCAAAAGTATATGATTTGTCTAAGGTTTCAAAATAGTTTCTGTTTCACGATCGAAGTCTCGCGCGAATATGTGAACTGAAATGGAGTTGAACTACAAATGTGAAATTTTGTTAACACTTTGGCATCACTTCTAAGATACTTCTTTATTTAGGAGGACTCTTATGCACAAATACTCAAATGCTATTCAATTTTAAGATGCCGGTAAGTCTTGTGCTGTCTCTTATCACTTTTAAGTTAGTGACTGTACACCAGTCTTGTGTTTTATACGTGGTAGAGCCATGCTACAGCTATATTAGTAGTATAGTTGTAGCACGAATGGGTCGGGGACGACCGGGGAAGGACCACGCTCTCACAGAACACCAGCGTATAATAGCAGCTTAGCACTGCTGTGTTTCGTATGTTGAGTGTAGAGAACCGGAGACCCTTTTTACTGGAAAAAAGGCATTCCATCTTAGTCCTCATGGGTGACAACGCATCTACGTTTTGATTCGCAAACGAGGATAGAGGTAGATGTCTATGGGCCACAGCAACCACTTACCATCAGGTGGACTGTGTGCTCGTTTGTCACCCTATCCTATAAAAAAAAAACACCATGAGCCATAACGACATTTTAAAATTGAGTAGCGTTTGAGTTTTATTTGGCCATTAAACTGTTAAACCATAGCTTAAAAACGAGACTATCAATAAACAACATTTTGTAATAAAGCGGTTTGTTCCTTTTTTGTTCTATTTTTGTCATACTTACAGTGATGGCCATATAATAGTTTCTCATATCCAGTGACGAAACGTTCTAAAACTCTTCTCTTTTTCTCAGAATAATTATCAGTTCTTTATAATTATTATTAAGTCTCATCTCATTGTTTATAATTTTCTTTTTCTTATTAGAAATCGTTTAACTAGTAGTGATAATAATAAATTACTATTATTATAGAAAAAATATGTCTTTAATTCACTTCAATTTCTATCACTACTTTAGGAGAATTACAAATGATGTAAACTGTGTATGTTCAAGTCAAATGCATCACATCTCAGTGAAAATTAATTAATTGGATTTTTCATACTTTTTTTTTAAACTTATATTTAAGCATAATCCATTTATAGGTACAGATCTCCATGCTAATTATCAATAAATAAGAATAATTTTCATTACCATTATTTATTTTACTGAAAAGAAGTATCCACTGCATAATATATCAATCCGTGGGTGTTGTTGTGAAATGAAACAGATGGGCAGCAGCATCTTCGTCACATAACAAATCAAAATGTTTAGAAACTGTGGTTGTCAACCTGCCTGCAAAGCGTGGCAGCTATGGCAAATGTTCTTTCTACGGGGGAGGCTAATTTTCAGCACAGGACTCTTGATGGGCTGATAAATGAATGAATAATAAAATCATTATGTAGTATGTGTTAGTCTTTCAAATCTAACACACATCCTGCCAATCTATGATGTAGGCACGAAGATTGTATACACATTCTTCGTTCGAGCGCCAAGTGGATCCCCCACTGCAGTGACCGAGAGCCACAATAAACTAACCAAAATTTATTTATGATTATGTTGACACTTGCTTGATTGAGAAAATTGTTTAATTACTTTATTATCGACTATGTTCACACCTGATGATGTCTTGATCAACTTCTATCACAACGGCAATTTTGAATACTGTCGGAAACTATCAACGGCTCAGGAGATATTTTACTGCTACACGAATGAGATCGCCAACATAAAACCACTTTCCCTTGATCTGGTCAAGTCAGGTTTAAGCCAGATAGATAGATGTTAGAGACAAAGAGGTAGCAACGATACCAGCAAACCAGGAAAATAACAATTTATGTTATTGCACCAATGTTAGTACCTACACGGATTTGAACCCAATTCCCGCGACATATCGCACTTCTAGGGTACTTTAAGCAATAGTCTGCATTATGTATGTGAGTGTAGTGTATTAGTTTTGATAAGCCATAGTAAATTTTTAATAATTATTAGGTCCCAAATGCGATCCGATTCCAGCACGAGAATTTATTCTTCAGAAATATCTGAAAGAGAATCCCGATCCGGACAGATCCTGTTACTCACATTTCACGACAGCGACAGGTTGAATTCTAAGTCGTCATTAAATATTTATTATAAGCTAGATTGTGTGATTTGGCTAATTTTTCTTAAGTAAGCTTGAAATGTAAGCTAGAATTAGGTCTTTGATGGTTCATAAATTATTTTTTTACGCAAAATAAAATATTACATTATAAAAAAGTATAATTTTGTACGTCATACAATTTTTTTTACGAACCAATAAAGACCAGTGTTTACTTAATTGTAGTTTAGTGAGTGTGAATCAATAATATTCAGGTCCACAACGCGACGCCAGCACCGCGCGCGAGTTTATCCTACGGATGTTTGTCGATCTCAATCCAGACGCTGAGAAAATTATCTACTCGCACTTCACTTGTGCGACAGGTGAGTAAATGTTCCCCTTAGTACCTACTATACTAATGTTAAACATTCACTGCCCTGCCGTAAGGCTCGTAAGTGCGACAGAGAGCGCAACAGGCGGCATCCTGTTTCTGCATTTTATTGCACCGCGGGCAACGAGTGTTTGACATTAGTATAGCATACCATTCTTTTCAAAAACTTTTAAAGTCTTTCGGGGCATTTTGCATTCATAGTACTTACAAAATTGAACTTCATGTCAACACGCTAAATGAATAGGAAAATTCCCTGTAATGACTTCTGGCAGAGAGTCATGTGTCAAAAGCAAACGTTATAATACAAAAAAGTCAAAATAAACAATAGAATTAATATAAAACCTCACAACTATCAGTATAAGTATCGTCTTCATTCTAATTAAATTATTATAGACAAAATCTAAAATTTTATGGTAGTCAAAAATTGATTACTCTTACTCATTGCATGGTGATGCAATACCATACAATAACTAAACGACAATAATTAGGGCTCATAAAATTTACAAAACCATATTTCCAAAGAATGCCTACCTATATATTTTTTATAAATACCTATATTAATCTAATACATAAAATTAATTTTTGTTTGTTCGTATTTTATGCGCTGCTATACCGTTCATCGTATTGCGGTAAAACATTGTCAACATATTGTCTGCACTTGTGCGAAGGTTATAGGCATAGTACAATTAACTTACACTAGGTGGCGCGCTCCATACACTCAACTTCAATGAATGTATTATTATTCCTAATTAAATTATATAAGTTCCAAAGAGCAATGGCAGAAAAATAGTTGACAAAAATTATAGCGTCTAGAAATAAGTTATATATAAAATGAGTTTTATTATTTTTCTATGATTTTTCAAATAAAAATATATTTTAATTGAAGCCACAGAAAAAAACAAAAATTTTTGGGAATATCAAATGACTTAAATCATTTTACTCTATTCAGATGTTGCCATTTAGTATATTTATACTATTTTCGTATATACTTTGTAAGACTACCAACACAACACACAAAATATTTTTATATTAAGTTATTATTAGTAACTGTACTATCAGTAATAATAAAAATAAAAGTGATTTGGCTGAGAATAAGTCTCTTACAAAGAATTTCCTACAATAATACATTATCTCCATCATAGTACTCTGTAACAATTCCATTTAATGTTATGCCAACACTAGCTAAAATAAAATGTCACTGTTTTTTACTGGCTTTACGGCTCTGGGTTCTAGCGCTTCTGAAAATGTCACTATGATACAAAAGACCTGGAGCCATGCCAGAAATATACATTTATAGTATGCAAATATATAATAGAGGTACAATAATCTAAAAACTCTCAATTATGTATTATGTATTAAGCTAACATCAAACAACCACAGGAAGCATGACTTTTTCCAAGTGACATAGGACATAACCTAAAAAGTTCAAATGTAAATATCTTTTTTTTGACGCCTTCTCAGTACAAAATTCTTTGACAGAGTTATTAAGGGACTGAGGCTTAACATTTTAAGATATTTTTGGTATATAGACGCTACCATTTCTTCTCAACTAATTTTATGTATGAAAGTCTGCCATTGCTCTTTAAAACATTACTTCCCCAATTATTTATATTGCGGTAGCATCGCGCCGGGTACCAGCTAGTATTTCATAAGGTGTTAGGATTCCTTTTCTGTCACCAAATAGCAGTGCCTGCACTGCTATGTTCCAGTTTGAAGGGTATAGAAAGCTAGTAGTATTATTACAGGCACAGCCATCATTCCATCAGGCATTCTATCCTAGTCTTCAGTGGTGATATCTGTAACTTTATTTGTTTAAAGTTGGTTGCAGTTTTCTATGGGCTGCAGTAGTCACAATCAGGTGGACTGTAAGTTCGTTTGTCACTTCATTATTATAAAAAAAATATCGAGGTTCTTTTAAGTATATAATACACATAGGTTTGTATTGGTTGCATCGTAATTAGTACATATGCCAACAGTAGGTATTTATTTATTTTATACGTGGTAGAGCCACGTTGTAGCTAAATTATGGTTGTAGCACGAATGGGTCGGCTCGACCGGGAGAGAGAGTGGTTCTCTCTCACAGAATACTAGCGTAAAATAGCAGCTCAATGCTGATGTGTTTCGAATGGTCTGTGTAAAGAACCGCAGACCCTTTTTACTTGAAATGAGGCATTCCAACTCAGTCCTCAGAGGTGACAATGCATCTGCATTTTGATTCTTAATTGAGGATAAATATAGATGTCTATAGGCCACAGCATCCACTTACCATCAGGTGGACTGTGTGCTCGGTTGTCACCGTTATTCTATCCGAAAAATCAAGTGGACCGTATTGTCGTCGAATAAGGACTGATTGATAATGACTAAATATCAGTTAAACTTTTAAACAACTGTCAGTTGTTTAAAAGTCAAAGGAACTGTGTCACAACTTAAACTCTTACATAACAGTAACAACCTTATCTTATTGTCGTATAATTTCAATGATGAGTTACTAAACTAACTGCTGTGACTTAAGGTCTAATAAAAATATAAAACTAAATCGTCTAATATCGCTCTCTCTTGACAGCTGCATATAGTTTTGCTACATGACACTTATACAATTCTTAGTTGTGTTAGTGTAACTTATTCCATATATGACATTTTTTACTATCCAACTAGGAGTGTAATAATATAAATAGATAGCAAAATTTACTTAGTAATCTCGTTGTCTAAAAGGCGTTAAATTCTCAAGGGTTGTCTAAAGGGTTACCTTCATCACAATTACTTGTTGAAATAATGATAATAATGTTTTATAAGCTTAATAATTGCGCTTTCATTACATTTTTAAAAGCTTAAAAATGTAATGAAAATATATATAGCGTTTTCTTCTAACTCCGTTAGCTCAGTGCCTGATTTGACATCCTTGTAATATTAATATTTCTCAAAAATAAAAATAAAGTTAACTTAGTAAAGTTAACTTGTGTAGTTAATTGTGTAATATGATATATGATTACAAACTGTTCTTTTTTTTAAAATGTCCCGCTGGCTTTCTTGCTGGTACTTCCCAGGACAGAGGTATTTTCTGAACCAGTGGTAAATTTAAAAAATGACTATGAATATTATGTCATAATTTATATTGAATGAGTCATTCTATTCTATTCAGATTTCGATCAGTCGCTCGACCGATCTGCATATTGTATGAGGACGAACGGCCTGTGTTGATAAAAATTCCGAAACGACACGACTGTTACTATTGAAATTTTTAAGTTTTGCAAAGAAGGTAATAACAATAATGTGATTAAAAATTACTTATATATGAAAGGGAACGCCATCTTTTTGCTAATTTGACGTGGCAGATACCTTTATGCAGCAAGAAAAAAACTGAACAATTCGGCATTTTTGTAAGATGTTGATTCAGCCACTTAACTAGATTTAGTTTACGTAGCAGTGCGCTGCAACTAGATTATATGCATAATACCGCGCGGATTACTCTTTGTATTTATACTTTGACGGAGGGGAACGCCTGCGTGTGGCTACTTCCCTCTGGTCCGCCGGTGGCCCGTGTTGTTCTATGCCTGCGGCAATCAAATTGACTCAGTAATCGTTACTGGGAATTTTGCGATAGATAGAAGACACATCTTACTGCCAAATTTTAAAATTAGGGGAGTGTTGCGTGTTAGTTGCTTATAGCATACACAAGAGTATTATAGATGTCTTGACGTTTCATCGATCTAGCATAATATTTTTCTGGAATGAAAATTCTTTGAACTTTTGGGGTGCGAGGGCGAGGCCCTTAGAACAGCGAGGTCGTAAGTAGCCGCCCACGCCATGCACAGCCTATGCCCATAGAAATCTATATCTGTCCATGATTAAGAATTTAAATGCAGATGCGTTGTCATTTCTGAGGAATAAGATGAAATGCCTCGTTTCCTGTAAAATGGACCCTTCTTACTGGAAATGAGGCATTTTTACTGTTACTTTATAAACACTTCACTTTTCTTGTCATTGGATAATGTGTAAATTTAAACGAGTCAGGTAGATAGTCCAGCGTAAACAGCTACGCGCCGATGTACAGAATGGCTGGAAAATACGAAAGTTCAATGGCTATTAATAATTGATACCAATCAAAACTTATTTCAGTATTTCTTATATTTCTACAGTGATATAGTTATTGAGATTTTATCCATATCAAGAACGACGTAAAATGTTCACTTTTGATATTTCGATGAAGTGGTTATCTCCACTATCGAAATACGAGTCTCTGATTTTACTAATTTTTGTTATATTGTAAAAAATGTTAAAACACAAGTGGTAAAGTTAAATTTTTTTAACAAAACCGACTTCAATATAAATAAAATGATCATCAATGTAGTTGAAGTAAATGAAATACGCATTATTAAGGATAACTCAAAAACTACTGTAAAAACTACTAGGCACACCAGCCTTCAAATAAAAAAAGAATCATCAAAATCGGTTCACCTAAATAAAATTCTGAGGTAACATAAACAATACAGTCGTATTGAGTACCTCCTTTTTTTGAAGTCAGTTAAAACACATTGGTCATATTAATGGTTATAATATTGGTTTTAATAACAAAATACGCACCTTATTACCTTTTATATATCATATAATATCTTTGTAACTGGTCTACTAGAATAAATTTCATCATGAAATAAGTAACGCTCTTGTACAAACACTTCATCATGATGTTTCCTCTCCGTTATTTGTATGTGTACATAAATTGTTATATAAATAAGTTCTCGAAATATCTCAGACAAACTGCTATTGATTATCAGGTAATATTGTTTTTTTATCTATTCTGTTTATCATCTGAAGTCATCATACCTTCATAAAGAAAGAAATACAACTGCATACTCGGGTATTTACTTTTTAGGGATTATAACATAAAATCTCTGGTGCATGGATGGTCAGTTTTACAGGTGATTTGTTTTTATTTGACATAGTGTAGTTTGCTTAGATTACTGATTTGATACTTGGTATTTTGACGCTTTGGTA